TCTTTTAATCTTTATGAGGTTGCTCACACTCCTGTTTTACAGGTGAAAGATATCTTTATATAAATGATATGCTTTACGATATTGTAGGTAGTTCAGTGTCTAGTATAGATTACAGCGCATCTGGGCTCTATTTCTCTTTCACGACTGTGTCATTGGGAAACCCTGCTTAGTGACCAGAACACTTAGAGAAGAATGTTAAAAGCAAAAATTCTCCACAGAATTAGTCACCTCTCTCTGTGGCTTTTCTTCTTTTCTTTCTTTCTTTCTTTTTTTTTTTTTTTAAATGTGTTTCAAAACATGAAGCAAAACATCTGGTAGAATTTCTCCGAGACACTAAAGGAAGCAGACGGGGTGTGCTCCTTGTCCTGCCTAGACAAACGATGATTTAAACTAAAGGCCTGGCCAGACGCTGGCTCGTCTCTCCTTTCCACATTGCTACAGACTGAGATTTCAGGCCTCTGTCATGATTGAAAGCCTTGGACTAGATCATTTTCAGAGCCGGGGTAGTTTCAGTGTTCAGAGACGTTGGACCCAGGAAGCCAGGCTGTGGGCAGTTCGAAAGCCAGCCTTGAAGGAACCTCAGTCTACAGGAGCAGCTACCACCCCTGGCCTTTCTCCCAAAGCAAGGCTCTTTCTGCTTCTCCAAAAACACACGATGACATAGAAAAGGACTCTTTAATTCATTGCTTACATAGCTCTAGTCCCTAAGCAACACCGTTCAAGGACTCTGAGCTAAGTCTCTGTCCTTCATGCACTGACAATGAGACCCTCTGATCTAAGAGAACCTGCTGTTCTGCTCGCACAGCTCAAGCAGGTGAAGCTCAGACAGACCTGGATGGATGTGGATGCTCCCAAGAAGCTCAGCATCCATGGGACTCTGTTGGTCCTTTTCTCCCCCAAACTTGTGTGATATTTTGATCATGTTCTGACAAATAAAACTTGCCTGGAGTTAAAGGGAGGAGTTAGCCACTAGCTGACTAAAATTAATCACAGAGGTTTTGGAAGACAGAGGACAGATAGGAGAGGAAGTAGTAAGTGGGGTGGAGAGGGATCTGTCGTGCCGTTTGGAGGAAGGAACAGAGCAGATAGGAAGGACTGGTGGCTCCTCCGTTTCTCTGATCCTTCAGGCTCTTACCCCAATATTTGGCTCCTACATTTTCAGTGATAAAGAATAATTAGAGTAATGTTTCACAAACTCACCATGGCTTCCCACTTCCTTCAATAGAAACACCAGGACACTATACAGCAGTAACAGTGGGGCTGAAAGATGGATCCGAAGACAGAGGCACACACTCCCGCGTCTGATGAACTGCATTCACTCCCTATAGCTCAGCTAGGGGAAGGAGAGAAACAATGGCTGTGAGCTTTTCTCTGACGTTTCAGGAGTAAACCATGGCACACATGCACACACATCACCCCACATGCACAATAAAAAATAGAACTCTTTTAAATAGTAAGAATAAGTCCAGGAGTGTGACTCAAATAGTCAAGTGCTTGCCTAGTGTTTGTGATGTTCTGGGTTTAATCCTCAGCATGGACAAAAGAGGATAAAAGGAAGAAGAGGATGAACAAAAGGAGGAAAAGAAGAAAGTAAAAGAGGAAGAAGAGGAGGAATAAGAAGACCTCTGGGCTGGAGAGATGACTCAGCAGTTAAGTGCCCTTATGGCTCTTCCAGAGGACCTGAGTGTGATCCCAGACAGCCACAGCAGGAAGCGTACAACCACCTGAAACTCCAGCTCCAAGTAATGAAATACCCTCTTCTGGCTTCTGTAGTCACCTATACACTGGCCTTCAATTTGATATGTAGCCAAAAATCCGTCTGCCTCCACATCCCAGGTGCTGGGATTACAGGAGTATTCCATCCCACATATACTGAGTTGTTTATTCTCTAAGTATAATAAGCAGTCAGGTACTAAAAAGGGAATTTCTGCCAGACATCTTGGCACTTACCTGTAATCCCAGGTGGTGGGTGAGGGGCAGGGTGGCAAGGTGGGTATAAAGGACAGGAAGATCATAAATTGTTTGTGTGTTTGTGGAGACTGTCTTACTATGTAGCCCAGACTGACCTGGAACCTGCTATGTTGACCAATCAGAGATCAGTCTACCTCTACCTTCAGGGTTCACCTGGGCAGAATCATACATTTGAGGGCAGCCTGGATTACAGACTGAGACTCTCTCGCGTGCGACAAAGTGATTTGTTACAGAGACAACCTGGTATCATTTTTTGATTTAAACTTGAGCCAAAAAAAGTACCAAATGCTGTACTTTACCCTGACTGTGTAAGCCCAACCTATCATCATGGTCGTTTAGCAAACAGGAATCAGTTGAGGCTAACATCCCAGGGTTTAGAAGCTAACTTCTCCATCAATAGAAAGTCTTTCCTACATGATTTCAAATGCCTACTTAGAATGAATGGTCATAAATAGCTTTTTTTTTTTTAAACACAGAGTTTCTCTGTGTAGCTTGGAGCCTATCCTGGCTCTCACTCTGTAGACTAGGCTGGCCTCCAGCTCACAGAGATCTGTCTGCCTCTGCCTCCCAAGAGCTGGTGTTAAAGACATGACCACCACCGCCAGGCATAAATAGCTTCTTTTTTTTTTTTTTTTTTTTTTTTGCTTTTTCGAGACAGGGTTTCTCTGCGGCTTTGGAGCCTGTCCTGGAACTAGCTCTGTAGACCAGGCTGGCCTCGAACTCACAGAGATCCGCCTGCCTCTGCCTCCCAAGTGCTGGGATTAAAGGTGTGCGCCACCATCGCCCGGCTAATAGCTTCTTTTAAATGCTTTTTTTTTCCATTTGAAAAAGATTGTGACCCTGTCTTTCTTTGTGCTCCTTATTTGTAAAGAAATTTTTTTTTATTTAATGTGTAGAAATGGGACAGTGGTGGTGCATGCTTTTAATCCCAGCACTCAGGAGGTAGAGACAGGAGGATCTCTGTGAGTTTAAAAACAGCCTGGTCTACAGAAAGAGTTCCAGGACAGCCTCAAAAGTCACAGAGAAAGCCTGTCTCAAAAAACAAACCAAAAAAAAAAAAACAAAAAATAAATGTAATGTATAGCAATGTTTAGCCCCTATGTACATATGTGTACAGTGCCCACAGAGACCAAGAAGAAGGCTCATATCTCCTTGAACTGGAGTTACAGATGGTTATTAGTTGCCATGTGGGAGCTGGGAACCAAACCTGGGTCCTCTGCAAGAACAGTAAGTGCTCTTAACCATTCAGTCATCTCTCGAGCCCGTGTTCCTTAATTTTAGATGAATGATCTCTGTATGAATGCATCTGTATCAGGCTGTTCAAGACACTTTTGTTTGTTTGTTTGTTTTTTGAGACAAGGTTTCTCTGCGTAATAATAGTCTTGGCTGCCCTGGAACTCACTTTGTAGACCAGATTGATCTTGAATTGATCAATGAGATCGGCTTGCCTCCCTCTCAGGTGCTGGGACTAAAGGTGTACACTACTACCTCCCAGCTGCCACCACTGCCCAGCTAAGACACTCTTAAGACAGCTCTTTTGTTTTCCTGAGACAAAGCTTTGCCATGTACCTCTAACTGTCTCAGCATCTGCTATACAGCTGAGGGTGGCCTCAAACTTGCAGCACTCGGCCTGCCTCAGCCTCCCGAGTTTGAATTCACGGGTGTGCACTGCAAGTTTTACCCTCATTTCTGTCGCTGTGATAAAATACCCAGCCTAAGAAATTCTAAGGAAGAAAAGGTTTACTCCGCTTAAAATGGATGCAGTCTAACACTGAGGGCAAGTCAAGAGGAAGGGAACCAGAGGCAGCCTGTCACAGCCAAAGTCAAGAGTAGAAAGAATAAATGCATGCCTACTCAGATCCACGTCTACTTACCCAGGACCCAAATCTAGGGAATGATGCCTCCCTCAATGGGTGGTCTTCCAGCTCTAGTAAGCAATCAAGTAAATCCCCCACAGACATGCCCACAGACCTAGATTTACCCGCAGTGAGACTCTCTTCCCCCTCTTCCCCCTAGGTTCTGCCAAGTTGACAAAACTAACCACGGAGCTCTGCCTTTAAGATCACTGGCTGCTCTTCCAGAGGACCTGTGTTCAATTCACAACACCTACAATGGCAGCTCACAACTGGTTGTAACTCCAGCTCCAGGGGATCTGATGCCCTCTTCTGTCCTTGGCCACCATCCCCTACACACACACACACACACACACACACACACACACACACAATATGCAGACATACACACAGGTACAACACACATACACGCAGGTACAACACCCATACACATAAAAGAAAAATTTTTTAAATATATATGAAAAGCAAGACACCCAATGTCCGACCCACTCGGCTCTCGCAGGGAGGGAACCAAAGACATCCCAGTTATGCAACTGTTTCTGTGGCGTTCTCCCCTTCAAGTCCATACCCCACATTAGTTACCTTCCTTGTCTCTGTAACAGAACATCCAACAGAAACACTTTAAGGAGCAAAGATTTGGGGTTCATGGTTTCAGAGGGTTCAGTCGGTTCAGATGGGGACAGCACAGTAGAGCAAAGAGAGCAGTCCACGTCACTGTGGGCCGGGAGGCAGAGAAGGAAAACTCACCTTTGGCTACCTCCTCTCTTCTCTCTATCTCAAGTATCCAATAATATTTACAGTCTCTATTATTTTCAGAAGTCATAAGATCTAATATAAGAATCCTGTGTGCTCAGTCCATATATAACATACAGGAAAATTCACAACTACTCTGGTTAGTCCCCTACTCCCTGCCACTCACCATTCTAGAAAATTGTGCCCTGAAGTGAGGTCGCTCCTTCAAAGCACCAATTTGTATTGACCAAACGCAGGCAACTTGACTGCAGATTTGACACTACTAGCCACTCCCCTCTCCTGTGTTTATATCCCCAGTTTTCCTAATTGCCACAGCATTTTGTAAGTGTAAGCCTCTTCCACATTCCTTTTTAGGACAAAATAACACTCATAAATTTGTAAATCAATTCTGCCCTAGTCCTTTTGTAGGAATTTCTTTTCTTTTAAAATATGGAATACGTCACGAATTTGCTTGTCAGCCTTGCCAGGGCCAGGCTAATCTTCTCTGTATTGTTCTAATTTTAGAGTATGTGCTATCAAAGAGAGCATTCGATCATTTTTTTCTTATTCTTTTTATGGCACAAAACAAATTATTCTTTAAATGTACCTGCTTTTATCTGTATTTTTTATGGGGGGACTTTTTTTTTTTTCAGACAGGGTCTCACTGTGCAGCCCTGGCTGTCCTGGAACTCACTATGTAGACCAGGCTGGCCTCCAATTCACAGAGATCTACCTGCCACCATGCTTGGCTCAGAGCAATTTTTCTTAATTGCTATTACTTTAAGTTATAATACACACCCATCTGTCATATTCTTGTGGGGAGGGAGTTGTTTTAGGATAGACTCTCACTCTGTAGACCAAGCTGGCCCTGGGTGCATAGCAATTCTCCCTCAACTTTCCAAGTGATGGAATTATAGGCATGTGCCACCATATTAGACGTTGCCATTGTCATTTTGATGGCCATAGAATACGATAATGTGGTTTAAGGGTATTTATTTGATGGCTTTCTCATTTGACAATTGTGTCCACAGCTGAGATACCCTAAAAACTGAGAAAAAAGAACCAAGCACTCCAAACAACCAATTTTTCTTGTTTTTTCTTCCTTCCTTCCTTCCTTCCTTCCTTTCTTTCTTTTTGCCTTTCTTTCTTTCTTTCTTTCTTTCCTTCCTATTTGGAGACAAGGTCCTGGAACTCACTCTGTAGACCAGGCTGGCTTTGAACTCACAGAGATTCATCTTCCTCTGCCTCCTGAGTGCTGGGATTAAAGGCGTGCACCACCAACAGTTTTTGAGAGCCAGCCAAGGTTCTGGGGAGTGAGTGCCTGGCACAGTGAACAGAGTTGTCTGCCATGCCAAGTCTCAAACCAGGGTTTCAGATGACAGAGCAACAGTGCTAGCCCAGCTCTCTAGTCCACCACTGCGAACTGACAGAGCGCAGAGGGAACAGTCACCCTCCTCTTTTAGCTACTTACCAACTAGCCATGTGGGCATCTGTACTCAAACACCTGAAACATTCATTATTCCTGTTGCTGAGTGTGTCGGCACACATCTGTAATCCTAGCACTTGGAAGGCTGAGGCAGGAGCGTTGTTGTGAGTTTGAAGTCAGCCTGGTGTACATATCAAGTTCCAGGCCAAATGGTGAGACTTAGCCCTGTTTTCTTTTCTAATTACATAAGAAAATAAATCCTTTCTCTTCCACTTAAAGATTTTCCAAGGACCTGAATATTGCTGTACTGTATCTACGTCAGTATCAACCTTCAACATTAAGAAATCTGTACATATTATTGAAGATAATAAGAATTTATTATCTTAGTCTGTTAATTTGCATATGTATGTATATGCATGCTCTTTCTGCTGTGGGAAAGGGACAGGTGAAACTGAATCAGAGATGGGTTAATGTCATGCAAACGCACAGCCAGTTCACTCGGCTTCTCTTTCAGTGGCAGCCACTGTCACTGCTCCCCATGGCTTGACAGTGAAGATTGAATTTCTCTTCTTGCTGTGTTTAGCATCTATTTTTAACTTGGCCAACTGACTTACCAGGGAGCCGTGTGAGTGCTGCTATTTTTAGATAAACAATAATTGTCCCTGAAACCCACTAACAGGAAAGTGTTGTCCAACTCTCCTGCACGCGGCCCATGGTGTAAACTGCTTGTTTGTTTGTTTTTGAGATAGGGTCTCCTGTATTCTCAGCTGTCCGGGAACTTACTCTGTAGCTAAAGACAGCTTGAACTTCTTCTGACCCTCACAGCTCCACCCTGCTCCAAGCTAGGGATTTACTACACACATTATAAACTAATAATTATAAAAAATAAGCACTAGGCAGGCACGGTAGTTCATGCCTTTAACCCCAGCAGTTAGGAGACAGAGGTAAGTGAGACTCTAGGAGCTGTGGGCAAGCCTGAGTTTCACGCCAGATAAAACTTCATAGTGAGATCATCTCAAAATAAAGAATATTTGCTGAACCCCGCTGTATGCCTGGACTATGTACTTGCGTATGTTTTCTCAGCTAATCCTCACAAATAATTCTTCTTGCCTCACATACACACTAAAACCCTGCAAATAACAAATTACAGCTCAGAGGGCACGCATGGCCGTCAGTCCTGAGTTCAAATCCTATCCTTGCCACTTGTTGGCTGAGTGAACTGGGCAAAGCACCTGAGCCCTCCTAGTCTCGCTCAGCTTTTTCAGCCCTTAAAGTAGACGGGGATGTTCACTGGGTGCACAGTAAGCCAAGCCCTTCTACAGGGTCTGGGGCAAGCAGTCACACGATGAAAGTAGTTGCTGTGGGAGATGACTCAGCAGGTAAAAAAGCTCAGGAGCCAAGCCTGACGGCCTGAGTTCAGGGCCAGTCCCTGCAACCACAGGGGAATGGAAAGAAGTGACTGCTGAAAGTCCTCTGACCTCCACATATGCGCCCCATAAACAAACAAACAAATAAACGAATAAACAAATAAGTGAATGAACGAGAAAATAAATAAATAAATGGATGTATGTTTTGTTTTTGTTTTTTTGAGACAAAGCCCCATTATGCAGCCTTCATCTGGCTTAGAACTTAACTCTGTGGAATAGGCCGGCCTCGAACTCATAAAGATCCACCTGCCTCGGTGTCCTCAGTGCAGGAACTAAAGGTGTGTTCCGCAAGGTCTTACCCAGATATTATTTTAACTTTCTTTTTATTTATTCTTTGTGTCTTTCACATCATGTGTCTCGATCCCATTCATCTCCCCATCCCTTTGTGTCTGCCCTCTGCCCCAACCTCTCCCCCTACCAAAAAAATAAAATTTAAGAGAAAAAAGGAAAAAAAAATCTTGGCATGGAAGCTGTGGTGTGACACAGTGAGTCACACAGTGAACCCTTCGATGCATTCATCTTTACTAGCAAGCGTTCATCGCAAAGAGTCGTTGCTCTGGGGAGAGGCCTCTGGTTTATGCTACACTATCGAGGCTGGGCCCTCACTGGGTCTCCTCTTGGATATGCTGTTGTCGCCCTGTGTCATGGAGACCCTCATCTTTGGGTCTGCAGGACGGGCACCTTCATATGCTCCGGCGGATCAGAGATGGAACATGGTGGATGTTTGGGAAGGATGTTCATAATCCTGGTTCTGAACCTGGACCTGGGTAGTCGCAGGGCTGGCCAGTCCATCAGCTCTCCCGTCCTCACCACCATGGCGAGCTCTCCAGCATTGCCCCAAGTAGTTCACCCTGTACAATGAGCATGGTGGGCCTGGTTCTCCTGCTTTCAGGCCCTCGGGTCAGTTTTCCCACACCCACACCAGTAAGGCTACTCTTGCTGTGCTGCCCAGGCGAGGTACAGGGTCCACTCTCCTGACTGCTGAAGCTGGTGAGGGGCAGGACAGCTCTGCTGCTCTAACGACCTCAGGGCCAGCTCGTCCACCCGCCACAGGCATCCCTCCCAGGCCCACTCCACCATACAATGGATGAGGGGTGGGGAAGGTCTCCCGTGCTCATGTTCTAGGTCTACCTCACTCATACTCCAGTCAATGGGGGTCTGCTCTATTGTGTTGCCCGGGTGAGGTGCGGGACTGTTTTCTAGAGTGCTGCAGCTGGTAAGGGAGAGGGTCAGCTCTCTTGTCTACCACAGGTGTCAGGGGGGAAGTGAGGAGGGCATCTTTCTCTTGCCCTCACCGCCACACTGCAGCTGAGGTGGGGTGTGGCCAGCTCTCCCAATCTCCCACACCGGGGGGGGGGGGGGGGGGGGGGGGGGGGGGGCTGGCTCCCCCATCTCCGCCAACAGGGTCAGCTCTACTCTGCTGCCCAGGAAAGGGGCAGGGCCCAATTTAGGTATTTCTGAGGTAAGGCCATTCTAAGTTTCCCACCACACTCAATAGATACAATTTTTTTTGTAATTTCTGGGGCTGGCAAGATGGCTCAGTGGTAAAGAGCACTTGGTGCTCAGGTAGTGGTCCTGGATTCAGTTCCCAGCACCCATGTGCTGGCTCATAACCACCTGTAACTCCAGTTCCAGAGGTTTTGATGCCCTCTTCGGCCTCTGTTGGGGCAACAGGGTATGGTGGGGCACATCTTTAATCCCAGCCTTCAGAGGCAGCAGCAGGCAGACCTCTGCGAGTTTGAGACCAGCCTGGTCTGAAGATAGAGTGCCACACAAGTTCAGACCCTGTCTCTAAACAAAGAGAGAGAAGAAAATGCTGGGGTTTTATTGATGATTATTGTTTTTTTACATCCTGGAAAAAAAAATTCCAAATGCTAGATCAAGGATCACTTTGTAGCTCCTTGAGCTCCAACCTGAGTAATTTCAGTTTGCGTGGCAGGAGATTGCTCCAGTGACCCAGGCTGGCATTTGAACAATTGTCAGGCCTTCCAGTGGGTCCCGTTTGCCCCAGAGGGACCTGAGACAGCTGCCAGAGTGTCATGAGTGAACCCTGACAGACATTTCACAGAACAGGTGTGGCTTCTCCTGCTAGCCTGGATACAGTTTATGAAGCAGCGACTCCAAGCCGACCTGTGAGGAAATCTCTCCTGGCTCCATCCGTCTGTGTCCGGTTAACCCACGAGAGCTAGCAACCAGCCTGCTACTCTCCCGGAGAGACTTGCTGGCTGCTTTCTGCATCTAGAGCCCAGAGCTCTGCCGGGCAGTCTGAAGCTTTCCTTGGAGACTCCCGAGTTTATCCTTGAATACCCACAGAGGAAACAGATTCGGTCTACCTTGTGCTCAATCATCCCCCTACTTGTAAAGTTCTCCTGTTTGCTATTGGATACCCATATTGGATGTTGGTAGGTTTTTTTTTTCCATTTCAAGGCTTCTAGAAGTTAAGTTGATTTAGGTTTGTATACAGAGTTTTTCTGTCCCACCATCCCACCACTCAGCTCTGTCCCACCAGCAGGCTCCCAAACAACCACACTGAGACTTACTATTAATTATAAATATTAATTATAAACAATTGGTCAATAGCTTAGGTTTGTTACTAACTAGCACTTATATCTTAAATTAACTCATATTTTCTTTCTTTTTTTTGGTTTTGTTCCCTTTATTTGATTTTGTTTGTTGTTTTTTGTTTTTTGTGGGTT